TAATTAATAATTTGAGTAGATTCCAACAACGTGTTACAAGCCTCAGTAACAAGTAATGAATATCATTATAGTCCAACCCACGATAGCCTTGTAACGTTTTATGCATTTATAAAGAGATCAAGGTGCTGAATGTGAACATAATGTTGAACAGAATATATAAAGTCCTAACAATTTTTGAATGGGCAATTCACTGCAATTGCCCTGCTGTAATAAAAATAATAAATTAATGAAATTATACTGTACGAGTGAGCACTCATTCACTCCACAAGTCAAAGATCTTGAAGATGCTTCTTTTTGACCATCTAAAAGAACATACCTTTTCTTGACAAATACCGTATATCGGGAAATTATGGTGGGAATTAAATTTGGCAAATTTGACGTTTTGATAGCCATTCGCCATTTTGAGCCATTAATACACATGTTCAATGGCACGTGGCCACAAATTTACCAAATTAAAATTCGCCAATCACCAAAATTTAGCAATTCGCCAAATTTTAGTCACTCTAAAATTTCCCACTATACCGTACCCTGTTATTATACATTATTATGTACATGTACATGTAGTACATTATTATTGTCTATTTAATGTTCATGTAGATCCCGGTTGCAATGGCTACTGATCTCCTAGCCCTCACCCTCCTCAAGTCTCCTGGTGAATTAGGTGCCAGTATTGCCTTTGGTAACAGTCAGAGGTTTGGAGTACCAATGGGTAAGAGAATGTAGCTGTAACATACACTCCTCTATAGTCATGTGACTTAATTGTCATGTGACTATCTACTAAATGTTACTGTTTTTTAACAAATTGAGAAGAGCAGGTTTTTAAAAGTACTAGAACTTTGTTTTTGATTAAAAATTGAATTAAAAATTGCATAAATGCAAGATCATAGTACAAGCCTGGCCTTTAAACATAAAATTAATAAAAATTATTAATATTTAGTAGCCTCTGCTATTGAAAGTATGATCAATGGATAGTTGTTATATTGCTAAAAGTGATGCTAAAAATAGTAACATTGATCACGTGACTCTCATGTGACTGTATCATTGTATTCTAAAGGTTGTGGTGGGCCTCATGCTGCTTTCTTTGCTGTTAAAGACGAACTAAAGAAACAAATGCCTGGAAGACTAGTGGGGAAGAGCTGGTAAGAGTTTAATAATAATAATGAATTAATGATGATGATGATGATGATTATAGTTGACGTAAGCATTATTCATTTTAAGTACTTAAATTATATGCTACATGTATGTTTCGTGTACATGTACATCATGATAAGGAATTAATATTGGCATAAAATTTACCAGTTAAGTTCCTCAAGCAAATTTTCAAACACATGTACATGTGTTACTCTCACTAATAAATGATGCATACATAATATGCATGTACACTACATTGCACATTAACATATACTCATTATAATTGGCTCATGAGTCTGACTAATATCATAACTAGGCGAATGTAAAACATTAAGGGACGAACAAAACGATTAACATTTCGATTAGCAATATACAATGTCTATATAGACAATGATGTAGTGGCTATTAAACCTTGAATGTTGACTGATGTGAATGTGATGTCAATACACTAATGCAGAATTTGCATGGAAGGAATTTCACAGTTTCTAGCTTTGAGTGAAGAATCTCTGCAGTTATATAGATCTAGGATGGAAGATAGTTGGTCTCAGAAGCCAGAAGGAGACTCCATTTGTTGTCTTTGGGTGCGACAAGACCTATCTCTAGCATTTCCTCGCTCTTTTCTCCTCCTCAGTCTTGATCCTTCTCACGCTTGTTACGAAGAAGTCGACGAGCTTCACGAGCATCTTCTTGTGAATAACTCATGTTTTAAACTTCAGCTTCTCTTGTTTCTTAAATACTCTTAAACTCCTCTCTTCCAGTGATTAAGTTGCTTCACTCTTACTCGTTGTCTTTGCACGTGGTACCGTAATTATCAAAATTATCATTTTAAAATGTGTGATTATTATTTTTTATAGACGCATAAATAGGGGTGACATATGTGTACAAACAAACAGACATACTCGACTCGACTATGTGGGGCTCGCTTTTGCTCGCCCCAATTACTGCAGTATATCATATTAAAGAAACTCTGTCAAGAGTGGATGTGATTGAAACTCATATATTCATATTATGTTTAAATATACGTCATTAGCATATGTATATATACACACTCATTAAGGTGTGGTGAGGGGCAAAACCTTCTACATGTACATGTACATGTACATGTATGTAGCCACAAGAATATGAAGTACTTGTAAGTCATCAATGAATCTACTATCACAACTTCCTTTAAGCCACAAGACTATAGAATATTCCAAGAGTTCATCAGGGCTATCTTTCCCCAGGCTACTCTCATTCTCGTTCATTCCGACTACTTCATTTTCTTATCATTTGTTCTTGCTCTATCTTCATTTACCATCTTCTACCTTTATCTCTCTTCATTTTTTGTTCTTGCTTTACGTACACAATTTTATTCTTTTTTTGAAATGGCAACCAAACCATCTTCATCTTCTTCTCCTGGTCTCCTCAAACTGAAGGAACAGCTCACCTGTCCTGTGTGTCTTGACCACTATACCAACCCTAAGACTTTACCTTGTCTACATTCATTCTGTGAGCACTGTCTGGAGGGATTACCTCTGGATAAGAAGAATGAGACCTATTATCTCTCTTGTCCCAACTGTCGTCATTGTACAGAGTTACCAGAAGAAGGAGTAGGAGCCTTTCCTGTAGCATTCACTCTCAACAACCTCAAAGAGATACACAGTGCGATGGAGAAGACAGTAGCAGTTTCGCCAAATCCTCAAGAGGCCACATGTAGTTATCATGGAAAGCCTTTGGAGCTATTCTGTGAAACATGTGATACAGTAATCTGTGTTACTTGTCAATTTCGTAATCACAAACATCATGAATGTGACTTAATTGCTGACAGTTATACTAAACACTGTCAAAAGTTAAGAGAATGTCTATCACCAGTTGAGGGAAAGAAGGAAGCACTTAAGAAGGTCCTGTCTGTTCTAGCAGAGAGAGAGGGTGAGATCAGAGAGAGAGGAGAAGGAGTCTTAGAAGAAATACATGAAATGGTAGAGGAAATGATGAATGTTCTTCATCGTTCAAGGAAAAATCTGACTGATCAGGCAAAGAGGGTCACTGATGATAAACTAAAGGTGCTGTCAGAGCAAATGAAATCAGCAGAAATGAGTTTGAGTCTTCTGGAGGATGTGGAGAACAATGTGGAACAGAGTCTGAAGACAGGCAGTCCTCAACAAGTCCTGAGGTCTAAGAAACAGATGATGGAGCGTATGAGTAAAGTTACTGCATTGATCAATGTGGAGGAGTTACATCCAAAGGAAAAGGCCGACTTTGTATTGAGTAAAGATATCAAATCACTACATCACATTGGAGATATTGTGACCTACTCATCTACTGCACTACAGCGGTGTAGAGTGAAGAAAGTTGGTTGCTTTGAACGTCTACCAAAAGAGAAAAAAGTTTTGTTTTCACTATCAATGGAGGCACCAGATTCATCTGTTTTGTGTGTTCCCCTCTCTTCTCTGAGGTATAGTCTAGTACCAGTTGGTAAAGGTGATGAACCCATTGAGACTACAGTCACTACCACCAGCACTGATCCTGGAGTGTATAGGATACAGTGTAACCCTTCAACCAGTGGTGCTCATACAGTAAAAGTACAAGTATATGATGTACACCTTGAGGATGCCTCACTAGTCATCCCTATCAATCCTTACCTTGATAACATCACTCCAGTACGTACTATAACTGAGCTTAAGTGTCCCTTGGGAGTTGCTGTAACTGATGATAATCATGTTATAATAACTGAGCGTAATGGTCACTGTGTAACAATACTGGATAGAGAAAGAAAGAAAGTGAAATCATTAGGAGGGGAAGGAGGAAGTGGTAATGTCAAGTTTTCTTTTCCTCGTGGTATAGCCATTACTCCAGACAAATTCATTCTTGTATCTGATAGTAATAGGATCCAGAAGATAAGCATGGATGGATACCTTATAGCATCAGTTGGTGAGGATCGCAGTGGACCACTAGAGTTTAATGATCCTTATGGTATAGCCATTTCTCCTATAACAGAACTGGTTTATATTGCTGATAGGAAAAATCATCGTATACAAGTCTTGAATTCTGATCTAACCTTCTCTCATTCATTTGGTAGCTATGGATCAGCTAATGGACAGTTTCAGTATCCACATGACATTGCTATTGACAGTCAAGGATTAGTGTATGTTACTGATACTTATAATCATCGCATTCAGAAGTTTTCTCCAGATGGAAAGTTTGTGGGCCAATTTGGTAATAGAAAATTTGGTTCTGGACAGCTTAAGTATCCAGTAGGTATAACAATAGACACTGCAGCTACTGGTCTAGTGTATGTTAGTGAAAGGGGTAATCATCGTATATCAGTCTTCACTAGTGATGGTGTGTTTGTTTGGAAGTTTGGAAGTAGAGGCAGTAATATTGATCAGTTTGATTATCCTTATGGATTAGCATTTGATAAAGATAGATTCTTGTATGTTTGTGATAATTACAATAGACGACTTGTTGTTTACTGATGTGTATTCTTTTGCCATTATATTAATAATAATTGAATAGCATTAATGTTAAATAAAAATTACAACATTTGCCAGTAATTGTGCTGCCATTTTGTATATGAGATTCTGAATCATCCAAATTTACCTGTCAATATATTGAAACTTTATATTTTAATTGTAAAACTTCATTGCATTGGAGAGATAGGGGTACATTAGCACATGTATATTTAGTTACATGTATCTACTGTTCCTCCTCCCCAGGGATCAGTATGGTGTCCCTACCTACAGACTAGCACTGCAGACAAGAGAGCAGTTCATTAGGAGAGAGAAGGCCACTAGTAACATATGCACTGCCCAAGCACTGCTGGCTAATGTATCAGCTATGTATGCAGTGTATCATGGACCCAAGGGACTGAAGGATATTGCAATGGAAGTACATAAAGCTACTGTACTATTAGCTGAAGGTATGCATGTATCATGTAGCATTAGTATTATCATTATTGTTATTTAATTTTATATTTTTCCAAAAATGGCTTTTTAATTTATTCCTTCGCTTGCATATTAATGTATTTATGCTGTGTAGAAAGTTTGAGCTGATTCCGACTTGATTTTTAAAAGTTATGACCATTTTTAAAAATTTGCCAAAATCTGAAAAAATCCCTGTACTATAGCCCATGGTTTTTTCCGAAAAATGGCTAAAAAATCACCCCCAATTTTTATTACATTTTCTGATACATATTGATGTACTTATACTGTGTAGAAATTTCGAGCTGATTCCGACTTAAACTTTTCAAGTTATGGCCATTTTAAAAAATCGGCCAAAATCTGAAAAAATCCCTGTACTATAGCCCATGGTTTTTTCCAAAAAATGGCTAAAAAATCACCCCCAATTTTTATTACATTTTCTGATACATATTGATGTCCTTATGCCATGTAGAAAGTTTGAGCTAATTCTGACTTCAATTTTTCAAGTTACGACTATTTTTTAAAATCGGCTTAAATCTGAAAAATGTCCTACATGTACATGTATATTGATGTACTTACACTGCTACACTGTACTTTACTCTACATATTATGTACAATATGTCCTCCTTAGGCCTGAGACTGTTAGGTTGGACTATCAATAATGAAACTGTCTTTGATACAATAATGATATCAAATGGAGACATTAGCACTGATAAAATACAGAGGAGATGTGACGAAAAGAAGATAAACATATGTCACTATGGAGACGGACTGTTAGTTATTAAGATTGGTTATATTAATAGTTAATAAATTTAGTTATTAATAGTTATTAAATACTAGTTATTAAATGTGGTTATTAATAGTTATTAATTTATAGTACGGTGTTTCATTGGATGAGACTGTCATAGGTAGTGATTTAATTGACTTACTGTATGTGTTTGGAGCTAATGAAGAAGAGGTATAGTAATACATGTATACTTCATAATTCTATACTTCATAATTCCATGCTTCATAATTCCATTCCCATACCCCATAGGCTGCCAGTGTCCTGTACAGTGTATCTGATGCTGATTCTAATGTCAGTATTACTGGTAGTGGCCATGAGAGGGAAACACCTTATCTCACTCATCCTGTCTTTAACAGGTAACACACTGTCCCCCCTTTCTCTCTCTCTCTCTCTTCCCATTTTTCTTCAGATTATTTGCTTTTTTATTTACTTATTTATTTATCTTATTTATATATATTTATTTATTCATTTCTTTATGTATTAATTTATTTACTTAATTTTGTATTTATTTACATGTATTTATTTATTTATTTATTTATTGTTAGTTATCATTCAGAGACTAAGTTGTTACGTTACATGAAGGAGCTTGAGAACAGAGACCTCTCACTCTGTCACTCTATGATACCACTGGTAAATAACAACAACAACAACAACAACAACAATAATAATAATAATAATAATATACATGTACACATACAACTAGTTAATGATACATATACGTTATTCTTAAATCTCAACTTATCAGCCTGATGGTAATAATTTTTTGCTTGTTAAATTTACTTAAGAAATTCGTCCACTTACACATTATAAGCAATAAAGATTACCTCCCTTTCTTCTCAATTTCCCCCCTCCTCCCTCCTAGGGTTCCTGTACTATGAAACTCAACCCGACCAGTGCTCTACTCCCAGTGTCCCTTCCTCAATTCAACACCATCCATCCTTATGTACCCAGTAACCAGACCACTGGATACCAGGGTCTCATTGATGAATTGGAGTCTTACTTGTGTAGCATCACTGGATATGATAAGTTCTCCTTCCAGCCCAACAGTGGGGCCCAGGGGGAATACGCTGGACTCTGTGCTATACTGGCCTATCTGAGGGATAAAGGGGAGGGGCAGAGAGATGTAAGTACCACGCCCACTTTGAGATTAAGAGTACATGTATATTTTATACGAGTTTATGCAATACTGTATACATGTACATGTGAGATGATTTTATTTGTAAGAGTAATGATATTTAGTAAATTTGTCTATGATAAAATAATGAGTTTTATTATATTGGTAATTTCTTCAAAAATTGCCATTTTTGCCAATAAATTAACCTGTACTGTACATGTACATGTACATACAGTATATGTGTGTTAAAACTGTTAATGTACATATACATATGCATAATAATAATAATAATATTATTATTATTATTATTATTATTATTATTATTATTATAATGTAGATATGTCTGATACCAGCCTCAGCTCATGGCACTAACCCAGCCAGTGCTATAATGGCTGGTCTTAAAGTGGTTGAGATACCAATGAACAAAGAAGGAGAAGTGACTAAAGACTCTTTTAAACAAAAAGTAAGAGAAAGGGATGGAGCGAAATGGGACTAAAATTATTATTTAAATTTTGATTGCATACTACTATATACATGTACGTGTATGTATATAGCAGGAATATTGTAGAAACCACAGATTAGATTTTGTGAAAATTTCCTGTATAATAATGCTAATTTTGGATATGCTGTACATGCATGTTACATGTACACTGTAGACTCTTGTTTTTCTGATTTTTTGTACGCATCTACTTATATTGAGATAATCCTACCCCCTTTAATTCTTTTTCCTTCCCTCTTTCTCTTCCTCTCTCTCCTCCCTCCCTCTCTCTCCTTCCCTCTCTAGATAGAAGAAGCTGGTGATAAGTTAGCGACCATTATGGTGACCTATCCCTCCACTAGTGGTGTGTTTGAGGACTCCATTAGAGAGGTCTGTGACATGGTACACTATTATGGAGGACAGGTAAGAGCATTGTTTAAAGTAGCAGACGCATTTTATCAAAAAAATAAACATACAGCATTTGAAAGGAATATGCTTAGCGTTAATTGTTAATTAAAGCAATCATAATAGTTACTATTATTATTATTATTATTATTATATAAAATTAGGACAGGTTAGAATAGATTAGGTCAGGTTAGAGAGATTAAGGAATAGGAAATGAGTCAAGAAAAAATACAAATGAAAAATGAAAACTTGATTTAATCTTTAATATTGTGTTTAATGTAGCATTATTATTATTATTATTATAACACTTAACAGGTTTAGTAAAAAGAGAGGTAGAGAGACAGAGGGAATTAAGAAAGGAAAAAGATAGCCTGATGGATATGCAACAGAGAAGCTACATACCAATATAAATAAAAGTAGAATAGTACAGAAATAATAGTTAGAGAAAAAGGAAAGTAAAAACATTTAGAAACTAGATGAGTTAGTAGGTGTAGGCAAAGACAAACATTTATTGCATATACACATAAAACTAAAAGTATGTGTACATGTAAATTAAAATTAAAGTTTGTAGCTACTGAAATACAGCTATAACACTCATAATAATTAGTCTGTGGCAAGATCAAGCAGTTACTTTTAATGTTACTAATATACGCTTTGATACTTGTCACGCAAGGAGTCTTTGCTGTTTGCTGCAATGCTTCGTCCACTAGAAGTCTCACGGTACAATGTAGTACTTTCATCTTGAGTCGTCTTGAGAGTTTCAGTAAGACTTGAACATTGAGCTCTTGTAGCACATGTAATTTTAACATTCTCGTTAAGTACTACATTAATCCCTGGAAGGCTCGTGATCCCAGTTACCCTATCTTGTGTTGTGTCTATGTTTCTCCGAAGTCTCTTGAATCTTCTACTTATTTTACCAAACGACTCTGCTGCTTTACCATACTTGTGTGAAAGGTATATTGTGGTAGCTGCAGCTGCTCCTGTAGTAGCAGCTGTTGCTGCTAGGGTAAGAGGCACACCGATAGCAGTTCCGATCCCAACAGTAAATATTCCAACTAGTACAGAAGCTGCTATACCACCAGCTGCTACTCCTGCTGTAGTTGCTCCACCAACTACTTGTGCTGTCAATTGTTTCTTTTCTGCTTCTTTTTCAAGTCTCCTGCACTCTCTTTCAGCTCTATCACAACTCGTGGCAAATTCTTGACAACGTTCCAGAACTAGTGCACACTGTTCCTTGCAGTCTTGAATTGTTTTGTTAATTTCAACAATCAACTGTACAACACTTTTGAAGTCGTCTTTCTCGACGTCTTGTATTACGGCCGCAGTCTTATTCTTAAGATTCCAAAAAAGATCGTCAACTTTATCAAGATATGTGTAAACTGCTTCCATGGTACTGTTCAAATGTTCATATGAAACCTTTACTTCATGTACCTGTTTTACTTCATCGCATTCACGTATTTCGTCCAGCTCATCTTTTGCCTCTTTCACCAATGCTTTGACTTCAGAAGCAGAATCACCAAAAGCATTTGCAATGCTTGGCAGCTTTGTATACAAATCTGTAAAAAATTCCTGTATCTTTGTGATTGGTATTGTAGGGGTTGAGTCTCGCCCGATTAAATTTTGCCATACTTGCTGCATCATCCGGTATAAGGATTGCCTAGTTAATTCATTTAATAAAAATATGAGCAAATTTATAATAACTAACTTTTTGATATAATAGTGTTTATCAAAAGTGGATTCAACTTGTATTGTTTGTATCTTTCGCTCTTGAATTTTTCGTTGGGCTCTGTTCTTTATTCCTGTCAGATTTTCATCTCTAGAAGCATCTTCTAAAACTTTTGCAAATGTTTGTATCAAATAGCTACCCTCATTTTTTTTGTAGTTGGCTACGTGACCTTGTGTTGATGCAAATATTGTCATAATATCGGCTGAATCCATGGCACCTGTTGCTAGTGTTGTACTACTGGCACTGTTGGTACTAAAATCTTGAAGCCCTGATTTACTCATACATGTAGATGCAAAGTCAAGAAATCCTTCATTTTCACTCCCACGACAGGCATCGATCATGAATACTTTTGGTATTCCAGCTAGAGAGGGACATCTTTTAGCATAAAAATGCTTTCTCAAATCTTGAACCTTGACCATTTTTCCATCAGTGCCACAGACAGCATCATCTTTTATACCATGCTTAGGATCATACGGTCCTCCATGACTGGATATAATGAGAAAGAAGGCTCCAGTGTGTGGCATTTTACTGTATCCCTCGACGGTGGATTTTATGTGTGCAGCTGTTAAATTTGAATGTACTCTGACATCGAATCCAAGTTTCTGGAATGTGGATATTATGCTTTCTTCATCCTTGCCGCCACTTTTGATATTCTTTAATTCAGTGAATTTTGTGTTATTAATAAAAACACAGATCCCTGGCTCACATCGGTACTCTATTGTATAATGTATATATAAATAATAATAACAATACAAACAATCTATTATTAACTCACCTGGCTCATAACTGAAACTGAATGGAAATTTTGAAGCCATTGTCCTTTTTTTGCCCGTCTTTTCTTTGAAGTTGCTTTGTTGTAATGTGGTACAAGTGTGACTTCTTATCTTCAGTTTAAAATAACTATGTCCTTATTAGGTTATGGATCTACCAAGGGTAGATTATGTTGTTTACTTTGAAATTTTGATAATACTACTACTGCTATAAAAAAACCTGTTTTTACCTTGTTGATAGCTAATACATGTAATAGCTCAGCTGACAGCTGCATACTGTGCCACA